GTTCAGGGACAGGTATCCAGACTATATCAGTCCCTTATAATCCTTTTTTATTTCTGATGCATCTGTTGTAAAGTCTCCACTTTTATTTCTGTTTTGATTTATTATTTGTGTATTTTCTTTTTTTTCATAGTTAGTCTACCTAGGGCTTTCTCAATTGTGTTATGTTTTTCAAATGACCAACTCTTGGTTTGATTAATTTTTTTCTATGTTTTTTATTCCCTATTTGATTTATTTTTATTCTGATCTTTTGCAAAAATAAATTAATGGTACTATATAAAACCAAAAAGATTCTACACAGCAAAAGAAACAATTAACAAAGGAACAGACAACCTACAGACTGGGAAAAAATATTTGCAAACCACATATCTAATAAGTGGTTAATATCCAAAATTTATAAAAACTCTTACACCTTAACTGCAAAAAACCAAATAACTCAATTTTTAAAATGGGCAGAGGCAGTGGCTCAAGCCTGTAATCGCAGCACTTTGGTAGGGCAAGATGGGCGGATCACGAGGTCAGGTGATCGAGACCATCCTGGCTAACACTGTGAAACCCCGTCTCTACTAAAAAATCCAAAAAACTAGCTGGGCGAGGTGGCGGGCACCTGTAGTCCCAGCTACTCGGGAGGCTGAGGCAGGAGAATGGCGTGAACCCGGGAGACGGAGCTTGCAGTGAGCTGAGATCCAGCCACTGCACTCCAGCCTGGGCGACAGAGCAAGACTCCGTCTCAAAAAAAAAAAAAAAAAATGAGCAGAGGACCTGAACAGATAAAAAAAAAAAAAAAAAAATGAGCAGAGGACCTGAACAGATATTTCTCCAAAGATGACATTAAAATGGCCAAAAGATATATGAAAAGGTGCTCAATGTCACTAATCATCAGAAAAATGCAGATTAAAACCCATGAAATATCACCTCACACCCCTAAGAATGTCTGTTATCAAAAAGAAGAAATGACAAATGTTGGTATGGAGAAAAGAGAACCCTAATATATACAGCTGGGAGACAGTAGACTGGTACAGCCACTATGGAAAACAATATAGAGGTTCCTAAAGAAATTAAAAATATAACAACCAATGACCCAGCAAATCCCTCTTCCCAAAGGAGAAGAAAATACCACCTTATCAAGATATCGCCCATGTTCATTGCAACATTGTTCACAATAGCCAAGATATGGAAACAACCTAAATATCTATCAATGGAGAAGTGGATAAAGAAAGGGTGGCATAGATATACAATGGAATATTATTCAGCCTTATAAAAGGAGATCCTGTCATTTGCCACAACATGGAAAGACCTGGAGGACATTATGCTAAGTGAAAAACAGCCAGACACAGGAAGAAAAATATTACATGACCTCACTTATATATGGAATAATTTTAAAAAAAGAGTTCAAGTACACAGAGATAGAGAATGAAACAGTGGTTACCTCAGGCAGGGTTGGTAGGGGAGAGGAAATGAGGGAATGTAGGTCAAAGGATACAAAATAGTAGATAGGTAGGATGGGCAAGTCTAGCGATCTCATGTGCAATATGAGGACTAAAATTAATAAAATTGTACTGTATTGGGAATTTTTGTTAAATAAGTAGATTTTAGCTGTTCTTGTCATTAAAAAGTAACTATGTGAGGTCATAGATGTGTTAATCTGCTTCACTATAGTAACCATTTTATTATCTATATGTATCCTCAAACATCATGATGTAAACCTCAAATATACACAATAAAATTTAAAAATCAAAAATAAAATATGTTTTAAAAGAATAAAGGCAAACATTTGAGATAGTCATTTGGGGAGGAAAATAAACATACTGGGGAGATACGGTAAGATCGTTGGGTAGTGCTGAGCGCCATTCTGAATCAAGATTATCATCTTAAATGAGAGACTTGGTACATTTGGATGCTTTTCTCCGTAAATATTCTCTTGTTTGGGTACAGCCATGGAGTAGGTATATGACTGAGTTTAACCATTAGGTCTTTGCCAAACAAAGGGAAAAGGGGTGGAAAAAGTCAAAGGTATTTGCAAGATAATGGTTGTGATGATGGGCCATGAAATATAACTGTGAGGAGGTGGGGAGTGAGTATATGAGGTTACAAAAGGAGTGAGTAATTATTATCATGGGGGTGGAGTCGAAGGAATGAAGGGCACCATGAAGTGGAAGATTGGCTGGTAAGTATGGTGGGAGGGCATAGAGGGGGTGGTTAGAGAGTAGGAGGCGTGAAATCAATTTCAGAGGTCATGTAGTCATTGGCACTGAGGAGGTCAATTGATATGATCATGGGAATGGGCAACTCAGGTAGGGTAAAAGAAATGACGGCTGAATGTGAGGCAGTTCAAAACCAGAGACAGCAAGGATACAGAAGTCAAGAATGATGACAAGAGTACAAGGTGGAAGAAAGAGAGTGCGCTAGTCACTGAAGTAATCAATGTATGAAGGGAATGACCAGGGTTTGGTACATGTCGGCAAAATAAACACCTGATTTTGGGGGTAACTGAGGTGACTAGGGATGTCAGGCATGCTGGAATCAGTCCCGATAATCTCATGACAGAAGGTGGGAAACCTATTGTGGAGATTAGGGCTGCTGGTTTCTCCAGCATCTGGTGTTTTAAGATCAGCATTTGAGTCCAAACTCCACCACACTAACTGTGGAGCTTGTGAAAGACTACTAAAAACCTACTTATTCTCATCTGTAAAATGAAGACAAATGTTTAATGAATTGCCTAGTTCACAAGGAGCATTTGATATAATGAATGCAAAAGCACTTGCAAGCTCTAAAGGGCTATAGAAATGTTAGTTAAAATTAAAAATTTATGTCTTGCATTGTCATTACTAGCCTTTAAACCAGAGCTAGAAGAATTACTTATTCATCTCTTCATATGCCACAATACATAACACATATCCTATGATTTAGAGATTACAAGGTTGAATAACACTGAACAATAAAAGCTTATAAAATGAATTAGTCTATGACTAATGTCTCCAATGTTATTATCAACATTACCATCATTACTGTTAAGCATTAATGCTTCAAAAATTGTGAAAAAAGGCTGGGCGCGGTGGCTCACGCTTGTAATCCCAGCACTTTGGGAGGCCAAGGTGGGCAGATTACCTGAGGTCAGGAGTTCAAGACCAGCCTGGCCAACATGGTGAAATTCCGTCTCTACCAAAAATACAAAAATTAGCCGGGCATGGTGGCAGGCGCCTGTAATCCCAGCTACTCAGGAGGCTGAAGCAGAAGAATCACTTGAACCTGGGAGGTGGAGTTTGCAGTGAGCCGAGATCACACCATTGCATTCCAACCTGGGGGACCAGATTGAGACTTCATCTCAAAATCAATAAATAAAAATAAAAATTTTTTTTTAAATTGTGAAGAAGTACACATCCTGGTTTTTCTTTTTACCAAATCCATTGAAATGAAGAAAAAGAAGTATTTCTTCAAGTTAAAGTCACACAAGTATTTATACACTTTGACCTAATAGTCTCATTCCCATAACATTTTTATCATTTAATCAAGCACAACATATATTTACTCTTTTCTCTGTTCTTCAGAGAAAAGTGCAGAAACCCTAAGTACGCACATAAATTTTTAGAGTGGACACACACATGTAATAGCCCAACTCCTAAAAATTTGATGTCATAAAATATTCCTCTAAAATGAAAAAGCCTAATGTCTGAAGATGAGATATTCATATTATGTTATAGTGAAAAGAAGCGAAAAAAGCTCATTGTTTGGTGAAGGGATAATGGAGTAAATATTAGCACATAAATTCAGTGGAACAATATGGGGCCATTAAAAACGACAACTGTGAAGAACCACAAAACTAAATCCACCAACTTGAATGCCCCTGAGTTAAGCGGGTAGAAGAACTATGAGAAGCAGCCTGGTATAAGGTGATAAAGCATAGGGGAGGTAGGTCAAAGACGGTCAGAAAATGCAGAGTACAGAGTGCTTGCAGGCCCCACATAAAGACATTCACATTAAAACATTTAAAAATAATGAAGATAAAACATGGTATTGACAAAACATGTTGTGGGCCAAATTTTGCCCATAGGTCTTTAGTTTGTGACCCTTTCTGGAGATAGAGGAAAACAGTCAATGGTGAAATAAACACACTAGATATGGCAATGTGATTATAACGTAAAGATTTTGTTGACATAAGGACAAACACTGGAGGTGTGGAAAAAATGAATGTTGGCCTTGTTGGAAACTTGGCCAAATAACGTTGCCCCTTTTAAGCCTCGGTTTCTTCATCTGTAAAATAGGGATTTAAAAAATTGCCTCCTTCGTAAAGCTGTTGTAAGGGTTAAGTGTGATTGTAAGGGCAAAGTGAGTAGAAAAGAGCCTGGCAAGTGGCAAATAAAACTATTCTCCCCCTCATTTTCCTCCTCCTCCTCCTCATTGTTATTTTGTTATTATTAACTATTTCAGGATTTTATATCCCACAATCCTGTTTCCCTTTGTTCTACTAACTCCAGCCACAATAGCTTTCTTGTTATTTTTCCAATATGTTTTAGCCTTAGGGCCCAAATTCTCTAGCCCCTGGTATTTGTCTTACTTCCTAAGAGCTTTTGCTTAAATGATACTTCCTCAGAAGGATTTTCCTGCCTGCCTCATCCTGCTTTTTCTTCATTGCACTTAGAACCATCTGTTATCTTATGTGTATATGTGTTATATATACATACGTTTATATAAACACATATGTATGTATATCTGTGTATTATATATATAGACACACACAAGGGCAGGACTTTGCCTAACTTGTTTACTGCTATATTCCCAGTTCCTTGAAGGGTACCTGGCACATAATAGACATTGAGGCATTATTTGTTGAATATTGTTAAATGTTTTAAAAAGGGCACAGTTTAGACATTGTGCCCTTTTTCCCCCTTTTATTCTAAATCCCAGAATGACAATGTTTGTAAAATCAATGATTTAAAAGCACATTTTCCTGCAGGTGATCTTAATACGTAACTCTTCATAATCTTTTGTAACTTTTTTGGCAGATCAGCCATGCAGAAGCTGGGGACAGAAGTATTTGAAGAGGTCTATAATTACCTCAAGAGAGCAAGGCATCAGAATGCTAGCGAAGCAGAGATCCGGGAGCGTTTGGAAAAAGTGGTGCCTCGAGCCAGCGACTGTTTTGAAGTGGACCAGCTCCTGTACTTTGAAGAGCAGTTGCTGATCATGATGGGAAAATAACCTACTCTCCAGAACCATCTCTAGGCAACAGTCAAAAAGAAGCAGGAGTTCAAGTGGACAAATGTATGTGAAAATTCATTTCACATAGAAGCTGAACTCTATTATGGGGAATGGATACAAAAGCGGAGCTCCCATATTGACTTTCAATTCCTCGTCAGAAGTACTGGCTTCTGTAGAGAGCAGTGAGCATGGCTGCCTGTGCTTGGAGTCATAAGTGTTATTTGGACTATACCCTGAGATAAGCTTGTAGATCAAGTTTGGCTCTCTTGTAAAGCATTTCTCTCATGTGCGCCCTCAGGGCTTCCAGCAGAATTGAGTCACCTTGACAATGACCTGGGAGAAGCCATGTGCTCTTCATCATTTTCAGCTGGAGGACAGAGCTCAGTGCCTGACTGCCTAGGGTCTCGGGGACTGTGGGCAGCCAGCCAGTGAAGGTCACTGGACCCTAGCCTACAACATGCTGAGCTGCAGCCCAGAAGCCAGACATATCTGTCTTAGCTGACCTGTTTTTGGTCCACTTTTGCCCTTCCATGACTAACAAGGAAGAAATGTATGTATTTCATACACACACAAGGACCTGGATTAAAAATCCAAAGAGTGATTCTCTTCTATGATTTATTTCAAACTCATCCATAGATAATTCAAGATTTGTATTCAAAATAAACATAGTTTTCACAGTTACAAAATAAATCACCTATTTTATCTTTTCCTTATGTAAAACTTTCTTATTGAATGCAACATATCCATCCTTTGATAAGTATTACTTAGAGCCAGTAATATTTGGTTAATTTGGTGCCTGTTGGGTACCAGTACTATACTTAGTAGTTTAAGGGCCTGCATTGGATCTTTTCACTAACTCGAGAGAGATAGAGTGAAAGAGAGAGAAAGAGAGAGATAGAGAGACAGACAACAGAAAGAGAGACGCTCAGGTTAGGTAATTTGCTTAGTCACTCAGCTGCAAGAAGCAGAGTTGGCATTTCCAACCAGGTCTGTCTCATTCCAGAATCCATACTCTTAACCACTGTCTATCAGAATTTTCAACCATGGAGCTACATTAGATTTGCTTGTGAAGCTTTTTAAACATAGACACATTTAAATATACTGTTAATGAAAAAAATATTCTGACACTTATTGAAATGGCAAAAAGACTGTACTCAGGACTATTTTGATAGGTATCAACAATATTGCAATATGGGAGAGGCACTGGGCTCAACTCTGAAGTTTCTTTGCTGAAGCAAAGAAAACTAGAGATTATTAGCCAATTAGCAGGATAGGGGCCTTGGCAAATGGAAAATTTCTAAGAGGAGTATTCAAAGGTTAGGGGTTGTATTCGTCTGTTTAGTGTTGCTATAAAAGAATACCAGAGACTGAGTAATTTATAAAGTAAGGAAGTTTATTTCGCTCACCGTTTTGTAGGCTGAGAAGTTCAAGGGCATGGCCCTGGCTTCTGGCGAAAGCTGGCGTTGTGCTCCCTCACAACACGGCAGTGAAGGGGAAGTGGATGAGTACGAAGACAGAGAAACCTGAGGGGTGTCCTGGCATTATAACAGCCACACTTCCGGGAAATAATCCATTCCCACAAGAAGTAATCCAGCCTAGAGAGCAAGAACTCACTCACTACTCCGGATCTGTACCACAGCTATTTATGAGGGTGCTCCCCCATAACCCAAACATTTTCCACTAGGCCCCACTTCCCAACATCACCGCTTTGGGGATCAAATTTCAACGTAAGTTTTGGACGGGCAAATATTCAAACCATAGCAGGGAGACTCCTGCTAAACTGACTTAAGGCTCCTGCTGAAGGCAGGCGAGGGTCATCAGAGATTGAGGGCAGGTGATGAGGAATCTGATCAGATACTGAGGGTGATCAGCTATCAAATGTGGGGGATTCTCAATAAATGAGTTTACCAGAATTCTTGCTAAAACTGGATTTGGCAGGCTGAAGACAGACCCAAGAATGAGTCCTTATAAAAAGAGGGCTCAAAAGAGCCTGTCTAAAGTTTGGTCAAGGAGATAATCTTCATCAATACACAGACCCACCCCACTCCCTTCTCTGGGAAGATAAGGGGCGAAAACATATCTATTGTTTCAGAACTATATGGGTGAATTTGATGCCCACAGTACTGTTATTCACTTTTCTGCCTCCTGCTGATGACTGAGGAAACTAAGAGAGGTTCTTTATCTTACTAACCTGTTATCAGTGGTGCTGTGCTTCCTGCATGATGCACTCCTTTAAAACAGTGATTCCCACATTTGAGCATGCATTTGAATCACCTGGAGTGCTTGCTGAAGCATAGATTGGTGAATTCCATCACCAGCGTTTCTGATTCAAGAGGTCAGGGTTTCTAACACATTTCCAAGTGGTGCCAGTGCCACTGGTACCACACAGAACCACTGTTCAAGACCTTTCTTTCTGTTGTCTCTCTTCTCCCCCTCCCTCTTTTTGGAACAGTGGTTTGGCTGCTCTTAATTGGGGGCTTAATTAATCTCATATATTGGCAGGTGGTATAAGGACTTCAAAGAAGGCTCCAAAGATTTCAAATACTTCACAGCAAGTATAAACAAGTAGTAATTCGGGTGGAGTGGTAGGGGAGTCAGTGTGAATAACTTGAGAGAACTTAATGGGCTTATTTTAAGGACAAAGGGGCATGGTCACTGTGCCCTAACGCTCTACCCTGTGGCTTCACTTCCATCCCTGCCCAGCGACCAAAGGAACCAACCAGGTGAACCCACAATTTCTCTAGTGCTCAAGGGTTATGAACATCACTCTTCTGAGTTCCCACAATTCGCTTACACTATGGAGAGGTATTGGGGCTGCACAAATCTTCACTCTGCCTCTTCCCAAAGCTAACAATGCTCGTTCTCACCCTCCCTCCCTGCATACTGGAGAATGATTCCTGGCTGGGAGGCTGGCGGACAGGACCATGTATGTGCTCTCACAGCCCCTGTATCTGCAGCAGGAAAAGCAGACCTCAAATACTGGCTTCTGGAGGTGGGATCAGAGACTTTTCAGAATTTAGAACTTGAGTGTGTTTCCCAAGTCAAAATCTAGGGCCCATGGTTGTTGCCATGGTAGAACACTGAAAATCAGGTTTGCCCTGGGAAACCTGCGATGATGGGGGCATGTGACCACACTGCTGCTGACAGCGGGCATGCAAATTGCCATCATGTTAACAGGGACGAGACCTCACCCCAGAAAATGCTCCCCAGAGCCCACATGCCCTTTTGTGACCAACCAGATTGCAAATATGACTGGAAGAGCAGGGACCATAATATTACCCCAGTTAATAAAAATTGCTGAATCTTCTTGTTAATGTTTTTCATAACATTAGAACAGAACAAAACTTGTGTGCTGGTTCCTAAGGGGAAATAGCTAGATTTTCAAATAGTCTCTTTCACAAACAGATTCACATTCCTATACCTTGCATTTCAGAACATGGTTCTTAGAAGACAGGTCAGACCAAAAACAGCTTACTCTCCAGGGATTTGTGTTATGCACTTCATCAGGCTTAAAAGAAAAAAGAGCTAGGAAGAAATATCATTTTGCATCATAGCTCCATGCCTCTAAAGAGAAGCTCACTCAAATTTACTTTCATTTGGTTCACTGGGGTGGGAGTGGGGAACAAGATTTAACAGTACTTGAAGGTTAAATCTTTGACTTATCGTCATTAGGAAAATGCTTTCTCCTTCAGCTACACTCAATCTTAATTTTGAACCACTTCAAATTGTATTAATAACTATCCAACTGCAAGATGGTGGGGGAAATTGACTAAGGAGTTAAACTAGGAAGTTTCTTGCTATGAAACAGTTACTATGAGCAAATAAAGGGAACCTGCTAGCTTGCTGCTTTGTAAAAAAAATATACATATATATTTCAAAAATGCCAATTGACCTTTCTGCTTTCTATTTATACAGAGGAAATGCCACCAGCTATTTTGGGTGATGCAGAGATAAAGCACACAAAGGACAGTGCTGGAAGTTAATTATTTAATGTCTTTGGGGCTGAAGTTGGAGCAAAGCTCTAGGTATATTTTAAGAGTCCAGCCATCACAGTGGGCTCAGGGTAAAGGAGGTTGACAAATTAAGCAGTAGCTCAACAGGGGGAAATATACCACATTCCTCTTTCAAGATGATGGGTTCACTAGTTAGTGTATCAGAAGGGAATGGGGCCAGGCCACTAAGGGGATAAACAGAAACAGGCAAACAGAAGGAGAAGGTGTGGGGCTGGGGGAAGGAGAGAGGCACAGCAGAGCAAAAAATGTTTTAAAGTACTTCTGCCACACCTGTGTAAGGAAAAAAATTGAACTTGATAGCAGATGACTTGGACTCCAGGCCTACTCTTACCATTTACTGTGTGATCTAAGGCAAAAAAAGTAATTTCCTCTGAATCTGTTTCCTACCTGTGTCTGAAGATTGCCGTAAAGAATAAATAATACAATAGGTTGAATCACATGAAATTGCCAATGCGATTCAGCCTAATGTGTTGAAGTGCTTTAAATGCCATAAAATGTTCTCAACTTTGAGGAAAAAAATCATTAAATGTATTATCATCTTCCACCATTGGAGATTCATCCCTGAAGACTTCCTTAGGTTTCTATTATTACCATCCAAATGCACCCTGAAAGATAAACACTTTTAGCCATTTTCAGCTAGCACTTAACAAGAAATTAGCCGAGAGCCAGCTAAGAGCTGAGGAAGACAGCTCTGGAAGGGCAAGTCAGTGGACTCTCCAGACCAGCCTTGCTTCCTTTCAGTGCCTCAACCCACTTTACAGCTCATGAATCTGCAACACCACAGTGTTCATCATCGCCAGAAATCTTAGGATGCTCAAGTTTTCCTTAACTTCAGAAGGAAGTTCGGAAATTTGGTTCAACACATATACATTATAAAATTATATATTCACAAATGTTCACTAGGAGTACCATAGTTATTAGCATTTATACAGAATTGAAAACGTGACTCCAATAGGAATATTTTCTTTTTTATTTCATTTATTCATTTATTTTTGAGACAGAGTCTCACTCTGTCACCCAGGCTAAAGTGAAGTGGTGCGATCTTGGCTCACCACAACCTCCGCCTCCCGGGTTCAAGCGATTCTCCTGCCTCAGCCTCCCGAGTAGCTGGGATTACAGGCACCTGCCACCACACCTAGCTAATATTTTTTGTACTTTTAGTAGAGACAGGGTTTCACCATGTTGGCCAGGCTGGTCTTGAACTCCTGACCTCAGGTGATCCGCCTGCCTCGGCCTCCCAAAGTGCTGGGATTACAGGCGCGAGCCACCCGCGCCCGGCCCCAATAGGAATATTTTCAAAGTAGATTTTTAGGTGTAGTTCAGGAGACAATCTTTCAACAGCTAGAAACATTCTTTTTTCTTCCCCAAATATTGGCTTTTCCCACTTTGATAGTTTGAATTTTTAATCCCAATTTAGCCCTCCCTATACCCCTGACCGTTGCCTTATAACTCTGTAGTTCTCAATATTTCCCCACTCCTTGACTCTGAGTTTGGTCATGGAACTTGTTTTGGCTGAGGAATGGACTAAGGGGCTGGGAACGTGTCGGTGCACTTGGATATGTTCTCTTGCATCTCCCTCATCACCAGCCAGCCCGTCTATCATAGGAGGATGACAGAGGTGGAGCAGAGCCACCCCAGCCAGCCCACAGAGTGACACAGAGTCACCTCAGCCACTGCAGAGCAAAGCAGAGCTGCTCCAG